CCCTTACCCTCTCCTCCTCCCTGCACTGCTCTCCAGTTGCCCTTGTGGTACAAGGTGGAATGAGCGAGAGTGTGCTTGGAAGGTATTCATTGGACTACTATAAGAATCATGCCAATGCAGAGCATTGTAGCTTAAATCCCACTACCCGATTTTGTCAACGGTCTATTTATCCCGTGGACTTTCCTAGCATTTCATTTTGTTGACGAACAGATGGATATATACTCCACCAGTTTGGCTCCGCTCGCTAGCGCGCGCATGTTGAAGTATACTTCAGTACAACAGACATGCCGGGCTCCCTTATGGATTTGACTGCTGCTGTTAACGAAAGGTTACTGCAGTGCTGGTGACAAAGCAATCTTCGCCGTACCTCTCAATCCCATAAACATCCAAGATTTTTGGAACGCTAACGTGACCTAGCGGCCGAACATGCTTAGGGTAACTAATATGATTACTTGGGTTGCTTGCTATAAATCCTTATTGTAAACAACTGCAATGCCTCAGATTTTGGGAAGTTGAGCGGTTGTGAGCCTGCACTAACACAGTAGTTAACAGAATTCAAAGCAAACCTAGCTTCGCAATGTAATACTAGTGGCCAACATTTTTTGGATTGATTTGTTTCATTAGGCTCGTTCCTAGTAATATGATTTCTTGGTTACCATAATTTTGTCCTACCCTGTAGAGTCGTTGACTTTTATCATGTCCTTGTAAGTCATTGATGGCGCTGATATACCTTTTGCTGTCACCCATCACCGATATCAGTCACTTAATCTTTTGCTGGTGTTAACGGTTCATCACAAATGCGAGAATCATTGCGAAATCAGTGGTGCTCACAGTCTGACCGTCTTTATCACCCGTCATCAGTTATTAGCACTTCCGATTACCCAGCTATGTGTTCTCGGCTGCCCGCCTATACCATATGAGAGAATCAATGTTCTCTTGCCACCACGAACGATATCATGAACCTGTGACACTCACATGCACATATAAAGAGAGACAGGCAGATTTAGCGTTTTCCATACATGAAGAAGGGATAGAAACGTCCATTTTTTTATCAATTGCGTTGGAATCAGAATTGGGGGTACAGAATCCATCCGGCCTTTTATCGTGGGAATGTACGCAAAACGAAGTATATCGAGTTGCCACTGCAGTGAGAGCTCGAGCTGAAGTCAGTTGCGTTCCGAATTTGATGACACATGTCTTGGTCGAAGACAAGGCTTTGGTCGATTAATACCCATTCAGAATTGTGTTCGCTTCTGAATGCGAATTTGTCCACAATGGTATGTGATGTCTAGTAAAAACTAGATAGTGTTTCTAGACTCCAAGATTAGTCTAGTATCAGTGCGTCCACGGGATAGATAGTCTTTGTGAAGGTTGGTGTGATGTTGGTTTCCTCGGATCTACATGTGACACTGAAAGCGCATCTTGCCCCTACAATCTCACCGCTCCTTCATCTTGTGATAGGGCTACTTGAGAGTTCTCACACACAACCGTTCATTTGGAAAGTTCGATTAGGGGGTTTCATTTGTGATTCCCGGGAGAGGGAGAGAGCATTTTAGTTAACGTGTTGTCGGCAGCAATCAATCCAAAGGGTCATGACTTTGACGCCCAGTTATCACTCAGACAAAGGACGGTAATGAACAGCAACCACTAAGAACGGCAGCAGGAAGACGACTGACTTGAATTCTTGGCGTACGGGCGAGAGCGGGAAGTATCAGCGTCCTTTCCACCATAAACTGACTTCAGTCCGGTACCATTTGTACCGTAATCCAAAAGAAGGCGGGATATTAAGTGTGATGTTGTGCATTGCATCAAAGCATCTAAATCAGCGCCGGAGTGCTTCGAGGATTTGAGAAGCTACGAGAAGCTTGCGGACTCCATTTAGATCTGCCATCTTGTGGGAGCAAGGAAGGGTCGTCAAATATAGAAGAGGCAGATTACTTATTCGACACCAGTATTATGCAAGCAGTTATTAGTAAATTTGGTCGCAAGAAACCATTTCAGTCTTTTTCCCAAGTTTAGTGGTGAACTGAAATTATTAGGTCCGGGCCATAATCTGCATGTCGCACTGGCTTGATTTTATAATAGTGCAGGAGACGAGGTCAAGAATAACTAGGTTCCTTCTTCAGGTAACATGCTTGTGTTTCATGCTCCCAACGTAAGAGCGAGTTTGATCAAAGACGGCTTACCGTACAGCCACCTGTTTTTCGGAAACAAGTAGCATGCGAAGCAAATTCCTAATCTGCCTTTTCGTTGCAGTCTATGATTGTCATAATTACAACGTTCACAACCGCTAATATTTATCAGCTAGCGTTTTGTGCGGCTTTGCTCGGCAGGTCTCATGATCGCGTCACCTCAAGTGTCGAGAGGTCTCATGGTATGTTTAATGCAGGAATGTTCACAGATTTGAAAATACGACCAGGTGGCAAAAGTGGTCGCAGAAGTGAACAACTACATAGATGCCATCTTGAGCAGGTCTGCGAGCACGATTGTGACGTGTGGCTGCACGTAATTGCTCCTGCGTAAATTAGGAGGAGGTTACTCTGAGGGTGAAGTGGTGTAGGGACAGGTGGCACGCTTACCACGCGTGCGGTCCGGGAATCAAATCCTTGGTTGAGTCGCCCAGGCCTTCCTCCCTCCGCGGTCGGTTAACTGGTTTAAATTTAATTACCTTGGGCCAATTCCCATTCTTGATCTGTTTTACCGATTCTCAACAATAGGTTCCAAACAAAGTACTGTTCGCTAAAGTACAAGTGCTGAAACGGGATAAACGCGACCGCATCCAGACCTCCGACTCCAAGCGAGCAAATGAGCGAAGAACAATTTGGCGTAGGATTAGGTGTGGTTGGGTATTGTTAGTGTAGTATGTAACCTCGCACTTTATATCACGCCTCTTTTCGTACAGTGATACTGGACTGAGGTAGATTATAGTTATCTTCCCACGCCGCTGGCGCCTTCCTTCAATCCAGTCGTGAGAGAGTGGTTTCTCTGCCATGTGGCGTGAGAAATGGATGCTCAGCTTCCTTCCGACGCATTTATTCATTCCCCGAAATCCTGCTATATATAATTTGCTAAGTATGTCTGTGTGTGTGTGCGTCCGTTTGTCACGAAATTCATAGCTTCGCTGCAGTGATAAGAACGCTGTATCTTGAGTTGAGTCGGATGGAACGGAAACATATTTGGTGGGGTCAGAAAATGATAACGACTGATAAGTGCTGATAGAAGGTGCTAGTACACAAATTTTACGGAATTCATAGCGCACATCCTAGCAGCAGTTTGGTTCCAACAATTGATGTGGAAGGTGGGACGGGAACATGTTTGGTGTAGGACAGAATAAGATAAGAGCTGATAATGACGAGGGACGGGGGGGGAAGCATATATAAATGAATATAGGGATCGCTCAAATAAAATATTCAAAGAAGTGAAGTTCATTGCGTTCCATCGTCGCGAGCTCGTTTCAATCGCTACTCTGTCGAAATCTCTCTCTGTAAAGAAATACGATAAGGACCATTGGGTGTTTCTATTTTAATATCATTAGCATCAAATATCATCTGGCCGCCAAACTACCCTAACATTCAACGCATGGTGGTTGCTTACATACACCGCTTTAACTCTCCACTCCATCGCGCGTATCAAACAGTGAGCTTCAGCAAATGAGAAGGTCGGTTGGGGCATTTCCAACTTAGGGTCGCATTCTTCAGCGGCTGCGAGCTAACGTTTCCATGGACTATACGTCCCAGCGAGTCTACTTGTGCATGTGCGCGGTAGCGTGCGGAGCTAAACTGGTAATTGAATACGCACTTATTCAGTAACCACTCACACTGTCATTTTCAGCAAAGACAGGTCAAGGAACAAGGATGGCCGCGTATGTTTGTTCACCACTCTAATTTTCATCCTTGCTTTTGTCTCTGACAAGGGAAGTCTTTCAGGGCAAGCCGCGCTTTTTGGAAACGGTTTCTTGCATATTGTAGGGACGCATGTATGGACCACAAAACCATGTTTCGTTTTCGCTGAACGGTTTTAGTAGTACCAAAAAAGTGGTGAATGATACCCTTGATGGTTCAATCCCGCGCGACTAAATTTTGCAATCAAGGTTGGCGGCCACTTGTTGGCTTCAAAATGGTCCTGACGATGAATTTGACATCTGATTTTGATATTTAGCGCGATTTGGCACCAAACCGTAGGCGCCAACCCAAATGCAAAATTTAGTCGCCACGGGGGATCGAACCTTAACAGTACCTTATGCTTTTTTTGGTACTGCTATAACCGTTCAGCGAAAATGAAACATGGTTTTGTGTTCCCTACATGCGTCCCTACAATATGCAAAAACCGTTTTGAAAAAGCGCGGCTTGCCCTGAAAGACCCCCTTGAGAGTTACGTGGTCGTGATATTCGTACGTCTTTCTTTGCAGTCGAAAAAAGGCAACAAGAAGGTGCAGACGAGGACAGGTTCTGGCCAGAAAACAATCCACGCAATATTGATGGCATCACTCATTAGTTTAATTTAGACCAACCACATAAAGCTCAGAAAACTCCGTCTGGAAGATCAAAAGCAAAACACCATGCAAAAGCGAAAGAAAAGGGACGTTCTCCGGTGCTTCGAGAAGATGTGGATTTGGTACATTTGCATTTGCGTTTGGTTTTGGTTCAATACTCAGTTCCCAGAATAATGTCGAACATGCGACAAACATGTTTCTGTGCGACAAAGAAATTAGCACGAGAAGAAATGTTTTTGCCTCCCCCTATCCTTTGTCTTCTTTATTTTAAGGAGATCCCCTTATTCTGACCTACAGTGAGGTCAGTTTGTTTGGAAACCGATTGTCTCACGTTCCTCAAAACCTTGAATGCGGCATGCTCAAAGAGCTGGTTTGCATGTTTCTCCGCTTTCTGCACAAAGTAGTGAGAGAAGTAGCGAAAGCAGGTCACAATATTACAGATGCATTTGACTCGGAGTCACAATAAATCGGAGTTCAGTTTGACTCCAACCGCCCCCGCTCGCATGACAGAGTAGGCTTCAATGAATCTGAGCATATACTCACGTTCTAACCCCCTCTTATAGTCGCTATCAGTCTGTGCCGCCCACCCTCTGTATCTCCCTTTCACCCCCATATCATATTACGTTCGCCAGATTGAAATGTCGTTCTTGATTTCAATTATTTTCATTATAAAAACAATAATGAAGCACATCAACCTGAACCATCTCCTTCACCTGTGTCACAGGCTCATCACCTTTCGTTACGCAAAGCATGGATGCCTACCGCGTAGAACTCTTTCTGGTTCGACTCGAAGAAGTTGGGCACTCAAATTTTGACGTCGTCGCGGTTATCGAATTGGTTTGCTGCTAAGGAGTGTTGCGCTGACCTGGGTCAGTGATAGTCGGACGGCGCCAGACCTGGGCTATATGGCGCGGAGGTAGAACGTCCCAGCCCAACTCCTCGATTTCTTGTTGTCTGATTTTCGCGACATGTGGTCTTGCGTTATTGTGCGATTGAACATTGTACGAAAAATTTATTTGCCGAATTCACCCTTTGACGACGCGGAGCTCGGCCCACGTGGTGGAGCTGTTATACGCAGAGTTCAGCTGTAACTGTATAACCCACAATCAGCATTCCGTGGTACACCGTTGCTATACTATATCACCATATAAAAACATGACTTTGTTTCCGTGGATGTCTGGTTTCGAAGTCACCCTCAGCTGTCCATCAGCCGCCAACCACGTCTCGTCTTCTCACGTTATTGGGAAACATCCCTTTGTAAAATGCGGTCAACACGAAGTCAAGAACCTTCTTCCTCTTGGTTCTTGAGGAAGTTCCAGTATTGGCAACCAGTACTGCTTGCTCGCGTCGCTCAGAATAGGCCGAACCCATTTTCTATCCTGAAAGGCCTTAACAGTCGCACGTAGGAACTTTTAAATTTTTCTGTTGACACAACTGAATCTCCATGCAAGTTTTGTGCGGTTTGTCGAGGACTCAATTCGTTGGCTTTCTTTATTTCTCCGTCATCTAGAGCTAGAGGTCAAAATCTTCGTCCTCAGGTCCTTTACCTCAGTCTTGGAAGAGCTGAAACCATAGCTGAAAGTGCATCAGAGACTAAGTGTTACTGCTCAATGTTTTGCACACAATGAGTGAGATTCGTTGGCCGTTTTTCCTTGCTTGAATATATACGCTCAGACGATGTTTTCTGATCAATCATCTTCGAGCAAAAGTTTTGGCTCGAAGAACATCCGCTCAGTGGCGCCTAAGATTTCGCAATATGCGTGCTGAATCGCTCTCTCGAATGAATGGTCTCCCATATTAGAGATTGTGTTTAAGCTGAGAAACAAAGACAAAAGAAGCGACATTTCAATTCTTGCCAAGCTAATATTTGAGAGCCAAAGCGTCATCTCCGCTGCGTGGGCGCTACGAAATTCCTTTCATACACATACACACATACATACACACAAACACGTATAGCGATGACCTAGGTTATGAGAGGGTGATGGCGGGTATCGGACCCGAGAAGCTTCCTGAAATGGAAATCACTCATTTGTGGCTTCGTATAACTTCGTATAACTCGAAAACAGGTGCCCGACAATAAAGATCGCGTTTGAGAGTGTTCATCTTTCCCATTTTCTTCTATTCATATTTTAATTGCATATAATGACGACGCAGGCCGCGTTTTTTCCACATATAATGGTTCGTGATATGTAGTGGATACTTCGCCAGAATAGTCAGGCACCAAAAATGGTTCGACTGAGAAAGCTCCAAAAACGTTTGCAAAGAAACATGCTCCTGGGAACTAATCATTATGCTATACGAATTCGCGACTTATCCCATACCAGGACGAAACCGGGAATAGCGGCATGACGTACTCCATTAAGCCACCTCACATTTAATGTGTTATACCTCCTTATACCCCTTCTCTCCAGCGCATAGCAGCGCCATGTTCTCGCTCCCTTTCTCCTCTCCCCTTCCTCCCTCTTTCTCCCCCCCCTCCAGCCTCCCTTTCTTGCCCCCTTCCCTCTACCCCTCCCCCCTCTCCCCCGCTCATTCCGGCTGCCACGGCAGCACCACCCTCTATTATATAAAGCGCTAAGTCTGTCTTCTGTCTGTCTGTGTGTGTGTCACGAAATTCATAGTGCGCTTCGCAGCAGTCGTCAGGAGCTGATTTTGGGGCATGATATAGGGGGTAAGACGGGAACATATTTGGTGGGGTCACAAAGTGATAACGACTGATAAGAGTAGATAAGAGGCGCCGAAACACAAATTTCACGAAATTCATAGTGCGCTTCGCAGCAGTCGTCAGGAGCTGATTTTGGGGCATGATATAGGGGACGAGAACATATTTGTGGTGCGGCACAAGTGGATAACGAGATAAATAGCAGATAATAGGCGCCAATAGCACTAATTTCAACCCGAAATTCATCTGGTGGCTTCGCCGCCCATCGTCAGGAGTTCTGGGCATGTAAGTGGGTGGGCGGGTACATGCTCGTGGAGGTCCCAAAAGTGACTACCTGATGAGGACTGATAGTATCGATATGCGTACGAACGTAGAGAGCCCTTGAAATAGAAAATAGAGAGCAGATTGTAGATAATTGCCTTTCATTTCAGTGTCATTTCATCAGCGTTGTAATTGTAAACTCAAACACCTTTCGACCGCTACACCTTCTAGAGTTCTTGAGGATGAATGGGACGCTGGAATAAATTTGATAATGAATACTGGGCATTCCGTTTTGAGATATTCGACCGCTAAATTACCTCGATACTCGACGCATAGTGGTTGTTTACATCATCACTTTAGCTGTGCACTTCACTGCGCTTATCAAACAGTGAGATACAGCCAAGATGGGCAGCCTATGCAACGGACAGTAATACATTTAACGAAGCAGCTATAATTTAGCGGTGAAACCTAAAGCTTCATCGATTGTCAGTTCTATCAATGCGCGCGGTAGCGGGCGGAGCTAAACTGGTATTAGTATATGCGAGTGTAAACTCCATCGGTGTTTATATAGCCGCTGTGGGTTTCTCATGATCATGACATCAACATCAGCGGTGTTTCCCTTCGTACTCCCTCGTTTTGTGAGCGGTCGGTCCGGACGGACAGAACGACGCACACACCGACAAACCGACACACCAAAGTTCTGGCTTTATATAATGAAGTGATATAGTGCCTTCAAGATAAGGCTCATAAAGAATGGCAAAGCATTTGAAAAGTATTAGTATGCTGTGATGCACTTCATTAGTAGCATATGGGAGTTGCCTTTTCTTCAAGACATGCTAATACTATCAAAGAAAACTTTCCAGAAAAGCCTTGCTGTTACACAGTGCAGTGATGGGAAGTCTGAGAAAAAGGATATCTCCAAGAAGAATAGTTCCAAAAACATTAGGATCACGGAAGGCTCGAACGAGAATATTAAGTCCAGAAAGAATCAGAAGTTGGAGGGCTCCGACGAGTTTGCCAAATCGAAGAAGAATAGGACCTTGCAAGGTTCCGACGAGAATGTTAAGTCCAAAAATTGTCAGAAGTTGGAGGGCTCCAACGAGTTTGCCAAATCCAAGAAGAATAGGACCTTGCAAGGTTCCGACGAGAATGTTAAGTCTAAAAATTGCCAGAAGTTGGAGGGCTCTAACGAGTTCGCCAAATCCAAGAAGAATAGGAACTTGGAAGGGTCTGATGAAAAAGTCAAACGAACAAGCTCCAAGAGCACTCGGAAGAAGGAGAAAGACGGAACAAAGGTGAGTATTGAACTGCATCCATAAAACCTAACGAAGTTGTGTTTTTCACTTGGTTAATGCTCGCACCAGCGAGGGGATAGCTAGGCAAGATTTGAGGTAAAAATCTTTGGTAGAAAAGACCGTTTGTCATGTCGCACATTCCATTCATGGAGGACATCCGGGGACTGATCTTGAAGCTGTAAGTAGAAAGAAGGGTTCTAGTTGCTCTTCCTCCATGTTTTTCCCATGACTAAGCAGAAACCGTGAAGCATTCGCGCGACGAGAGGTAGATAAGCGGACTAGCAAGGTGGACCCATGTCAAGGTTCGGCTCGCCTGCGAGGTCCGTGGCGATATCGCGCGAACCGAGAGTCCCTAAAACTACAGAAGTTAGAGAAGTGGTGATTGGAGGAATTGCTCAGGTAGCAACCCCACTTTACAATGAGTCTTCCATTGAACCGAGAAAACCTGTGGGAGTACACTCACTCGTCTTCATCAATCGCTCTCCGAACATGAAGCGTAGCCCAAAGCTGCGATCTCCAACTCGATATTAGAGACGACAAGAGTTCGGAAATGCTCAAGCGCTGCGGTTCAGAGCTACTTGTATCCGCTGTCCATCCATGTCTTAGCCTCGTAGCACGAGGCAGAAAGAACTCTGTATCTGAACAGATCAAAGTATTGGTTCAGCCAGGCACGAATGCTCGATGACGCTCTTTGAAACCGTGAAGCTTGCTCATAGTGGTTCCCGTAGTATTTCAGGCTATTGCTCTGAATACAGTGCGTTTCACAATTATAAGCTCACCCTCAAATTTTGCATTTCCAGAATAAGCAGTCATTTAGGAATTTTTCTAGCATTATCAACGGATTCCCCAGCACGAATAACCCCGTATCCAAATTTTGGCAGCAGCACCATTTTCCTGAACTTTTTTTAATAATAGCTTTGAATTTTGCACCGTTTCATAATTATAAGCTCACCCTGAGAAACTGAACAATTTATTTATGTTACTGAGACACGTGAGAGAGTTAATAATCTATGACTCCACTTGGTTGAAGGGCGACATCGAAGGACTCCGTGGCCTACTAGGAAGCAGGTTCCGAAGCTCTTCTTTATCGATTCCGTTCCAAGCTTTAATGACAGCCTGTTTCAGAATTTCTGTGCTTTGTAAGTAGCGGTTATTTCGCATAAGTCTTTTTTGGCGATGATGCCCTAGACGTTCTCCATCGGATGGACATCCGGACTGCAGGGTGTCCACTGGAGGAAGCTTATATTTCAGCAATGCGGCCAATCTTTGCTGAGAGATTCACGTGGATGGCAGATTTCCTGTTGGAAGACGTAGTTTAGACGACGCCGCAGGCATGAGAAAGGCACTAGATGTTGCTGTTGGACTTGTAGGTATTTCGTGGAGTCCATTTTGCAGGCCACTAACCAGGAAGGCATTCAACTTCCCATGGAACTTTGAATTGAGACCCAGATATATCGATAGAGCTTCAAACGCTGATTACAAATATGGAAACTAAAACTGCAAAATGAACCTGCCAAGGAAGTTGTGAGCAGTCAAAGTTGGCTGGAAGTAAAGCATTACACTAGCCTCCGGGCTTTCAAAGTCGCCGTGGAGTAGTGGTAGTGCTCTCGGAATTTGCGCTCCGACGGGAGGAGAGCTTATGACCTCCAGGGTGAATAGCGAGGGCACCACCACTGCTCCGCGGCGACTCTGAAAGCCCGGAGGCTAGTGTAATGCTTTACTCCAGCCAACTTTGACTGCTCACAACTTCCTTGGCAGGCTCATTTTGCAGTTTTAGTCCAGTAAGCGAGCGCACGCAATGAAAGCTGCTAGATCATTCTCTTGTCCACAGAAAAGTAAATTACTAAGTTTTATCCTTAAGACATCAATACCAATACAAGTTACCAGACAGACGTCGAGATATACACGAGAAACACATCGAATGAAAGGCACAAGTAACCATTGGAGATAAATGAACACACTACAAACAAAGGCACAAAGAGAACGATCAGATCGTATGCAGCTCTAGGTGTTGAGGGCGTCGCCCTTGGAAGGTGAGAAGCGGAGGTGAGGAAGAGGTCGCGGTCCTCGGCCGCTGCTGCCAGACGTCTCTCTTGTCGGCGGCGTCGCTGGTCTCCGCCCTGGAAGTGATGAGTCAGATCAAAGAAAGAACTAACTGGGCACCAGAGAACCGCTATGCTTACACCTCCCTCATTTACACCAAGTCCGTCCCGGACTTAGAAATATAATGCGGGGGCTTACCGTAGCTGGGATATTACGCGCATAAACACAGCCGCGAATCTAATCCCGCGGAAAGAAGCGATCACCCTTCTGAGAAACAGCCCAATCGACCAGATATCATCAGAGTTGTATTCTCTTGAACGACGTCGCATGCCAAAGGACGGACTGTGCATTATTGCAGTGTGAAATGGCGGCTTTCTATCTCCTGTAGCAGTCCAAAAAGTCGGCTGAAGATGGAATGAAATTAGTGTTGTTTCAAACAAAATTGGTACCTCTTCTCTGGTTCCTATGCCGGAACTCCTTGCGAGCTCAACTTCTGGCCGGTCCAATGCGGCCCTCCCAAGAAGTTGATGTCAGACAGGTCCATGAGGTTGATATTCACCACAGCCACATTATGACCTGTACTAGCCTTCATCCAGTCCGACGAAATGATCATTCTTAGGCGAAGTCTTTATGATCTAGACGCCAGAAGTATCCCTTTATTGGTTCCTGACAGCGGCAAACGGGTGGTTGAAGTTAACCAGCGAAACGGGATACACTCGTCAGTGCCGACAGTCACCATTATAGTAACATTTGTAGGTTGACTCTTCCAAAATCGGCCGCGTGATCCTAGGATCGTGGCGTGATTCCCCTTAGCAGCCGAATTTTCACTCAAACGAGAGGACTGTGCCGAGTAAGCGACACAGCTGAGGCATTTGAATCAAGTCTATGTTAAGGGGCAACCGCCCGGTAATCAAAAGAATCTACACGAAACCGAAAGAAAGGTCTAGTGGACTACCGAATATCAAAGCGACAGCTTTACTAATGGTAATGAAATCAAAGCAGTGTTTCAACTCACTGATAAATGGTCTATGTACTGGGCCAACCGGCCATATAACTTCCAACATCCACGGTTGCTTCTTCAACCAATATCTCAGCCAGCTGGCTGTCACTAATCCGCGCTTATAGCAACATAACTTCCTCGCAACGAACTTTTGAACCCAAATAAGATCAAAACACACACGCAAAAATACAGAACTGTGCGCACGAACCACAACTACTCACTGAACTCAAGAATTTCATATAGGCCCTATTCAACTCACCAACCTCTCAACTTCAAACGCCGTACTTCTTCAACTACTACAAAATGCTCATACCTTTTCTCCATGAGCCTTCAGCGCTTCGTCGCTTTACTTCTCCGAGCTTTGCTCGCATCGGCCCTGCCGGAACTCTTCCTCGTCGATTTTCGCTGCGCAGCCACGACGGAACTTCTCTTCTGCACTCTGGTGCACTTCCATTTATCTGAAATGGGCATCATCTCTTCAACTCGCCAGGCCTGGCCTTTACAACACTTCTCAACACGTAGTACCTCCATGTACTCGTACAAACACGTCTAGACTCTTGACCAACCGGTACCGGGTTTTCACTGTTTCATCTTTTCTTTTTGAACGATATAAGCCTCCGTTCAACAAGGCATCACTCACACTCTCCCGGACACACAAATAGGGGACAAAGGCTACAGTCAATTTGAAGAAAGAACTCACCAGAACGAAATGACATCTGGACGGCGACACTAAGAACAACTTTTTGAACATCGACTTGGAATTGACACTTGCGCGCCCAGATC